AAATGTATCGTGAAGTTATATTCAGAAAGAATAAACCAGTTTTATTAAGTAAGGACTTGTGTCGCTAAAGTTTCGTCGGAACGAAGTTACGGAAAGTTAATTGACAAACGGAGACGTAACAATATATTTGATAACGCCTAAGGTCTCGTAGGTTACTTTACTCTAGTCGTACTTAAATAATTTCAATTTGAGGGTAGGTTGTTAGAGATCCTGATGAATAATAAAATCGAATCGAGTATAGGATCGCCCCCGGCTGGGTATTACTGGCACACAAAAATATAGCTAATAAAAAGGAAAAAAAGGTCTCATAGATTCATTTACTCTAATCCTGCCTAAAATAATTTAAAGTGCCGCGGCTATTGAGGATTCCCTCTTGTTCAAGTTGTATAGATGTATGCATATGTATTCAATGCAAATATAAGACAATGTGTCATAATATAATAGGATATGTATAGAAATAAGCATTTTAAATATTTCTCATAATTATTATATTTTCCACTTTCTCTTCCTACTCCTTTTCTCCACCAGCCATAGTAAGGCCGGTTACGGTTTTGCTGCAGAAGGCCAGATTTCCTCTTAGAGTAACATTCTGCACACTATACAAGGCCGTAAATGTGTTAATTATGAACTGATTATGTTAATATACCTTCCTTTCTTCCATTTCTGATTGAATTTAGGTCGTGACACTTCTACGATCCTCTTACACTGTGACGAACCTAAACTTTGATGGTCCGTCGCTGCTGCATACTTTATCTGAAACTAAATATTTTCTAAATAAATATATATATCTACCTCACTTTCGCCTAGAATCGCCATCTACTCCTTGCACGATTTTTGCCGCTCCTTAGAGTCAGCTTCAATGATGGCTACTCTATCTGCAGTCTGTATAAAATTTGCAGTCACCCACTGTTGACTATAATTCAACACTTACCATCAGCCATCACCGCGACTGCCGATCCGATGCTTGAAACTGAGCTTGGTGCTTTTAATCTACGGATTAAATATTTCTGTTGTGGGAGACAGGTTAGAAGTTTGTATAACGTTTTAGATGTTTGTGTAACATGGCTAAAATCGATCATGCAGTAGTAAAAAAAAAACTAAAAAAACTGTGATCTTGTCAGCAACATCGTTTCCAAAACCCAGACATAAACAAATGATACGTTACATCAATACAGTTGCAACAATAAGTTAATAATCGCTGTGGTACATGTGTCATGCCTGCCATATAAATTTTATATTACATCCACGGCCTGCATGCAGCTATATACGTATGCATGTACTAGATTATTAGGTTCCATATAAACCACACACTACATTAAAACGATTGGCTGTCAACGGTTATACAGCCGCTGTTATTTGATAGGTAATCAAATAAACTTAAAATTTACATAACACAACGCGCAATGATGCGTTTAGTAATATTGCCCAGGTTTGATTACAATACTCACAGCCATTTTTCCTACAGGCTGGCGAAACATTACTAAATAGTAATAATAATAAAAGGAAATGGGTGATCCATATTATGAACCACTACAGTGGTTCTCGATTAGGGTGAATAATGGATAATTTGGGTATGCCTTTACAGTATCTTCCAAGCTAACCAAAACACATAAAAGCTAACGTAGGACAAGTCGCTACCTATTTGAGGATGACTAATACTACATACTGCTATCTAAACACGTTTTAACGGCGTTAGAATACGTATATAATGATAATATTTAATATTTGAAGATTTAGTAAAGGATGTTTTAGGTTTTCTTATTCCACCGTCATTGAGACATCACAGTCAATCATAAATTATGATTTTGTGGATACGATTTACTCCTTGTATTTTAATAAAATATCTTGAGACACGAGCGTTATTACTATTTACACGTAGAACCTAAGTAAACAGTTATTGACGAGCTTTCCGTTAGGCTGTAACAGTGTAACTGTAAGGTAAGTGTGTGCTTAAAGTTATAGTTAGATCTTTTCTCCGTAACAATTCAGTAATTCGTGTGGTCTTAAAATCTCAATCAAAATAATAAACCTAGGTATCAATATTAAGTAGAGCAAAAAACACATACAACCAGTTACACTTAAAAGTTGCAAGGATACAGGTCGTGAAACACTGAAACTGAAAGTTGAAGCATGAAAAATTAGGCCTTGTTTCACGTGTTGTTGAGCCTAGTTAGTAACTGAGTGAGTTGTGGTTGGAAATGGAAAGAAAATCGTAAATTTCTTATGTAATATATTACAGTTGTAGTATAACACAGGATGTTTTAGAAACGTTTATTAGTTTCAAAATAATAATTAAATTTAGTACTCGTTATGATAGATTTCTAAAAAAATTGAAAAAGTATCCTGTTATTTCAATGAAAAAACCGTTTTCCTTTGTCAATTTTTACACCTCGTGTCAAGTAAATAACATAAAAGTAAAAAAAAGAAAGACTTCCAGAGGCGAAGAAAGTACAAAATGTAGAAAAATGCAAACAAGGTGAAACACTTGCTGAATTGAAATAAATGAGTTTCTTGACGAATTTTAATATGATTAATGTTTCTCCTTTGTTGTCTACATGGCATTGCATTAAAACTTAAAACTTTGAAAATTACCCGTGACTTAAAATTATCTATTTAGACACTGGCAACAAAAGCCAAAGTATGAAAATATTGAGTATGAGATTACGATAGGAACAAAGTTCCATAATGTGGACCATTTTCATGAGGAAAAAACAAAATATTTCTTAAAAATAAAAGGGGCCAGGTGGTTAGGGCGCTCAACTCGCAATCTGCGGGTCGCGGGTTCGAATCCCCGTTACACCAAACGTGTTCGCCCTTTCAGCCGTGGGGGCATTATAATGTGACAGTCAATCCCACTATTCATTGGTAAAAGAGTATCCCAAGAGTTGGCGGTGGGTGGTGATGACTAGCTGCCTTCCCTCTAGTCTTACACTGCTAAATTAGGGATGGCTGGCGCAGATAACCCTCGTGTAACTTTGCGCGCGAAATTCAAAACAAACAAACAAACAAAAATAAAAGGTCTCTTCAACTACTTGTACTGTTGTAACTTGTAGTTTTTAAGGTTAATTCATTGTAATACTAAAACATGTAAGGTGGTTAATCTAATTATGATAGTGTTACATGTACCTTTTTACTTATAACCTTTGGAAGAAAGGTTCATAAAAACATTGTCCAACTGATTTCTTAAAGTGAAATATGTAATTTAAAAGTTTACAGTTGATCTTTGCATTATGTTATGATGGAGGAGAGGGGTTAAGAAATGATGGATTCTCTCTCCACACAAATAGAAAGAAAATTAATTTAGGTATATGTTAGATGTTTTTATGCTTCGGCCTTCATGATCAGTCAATGCACATAATTGGTGTAATCATAATAGGCATTAAGCATGGTCTTTATGCTAATTAATAATTTGTGTAAATATATGATTTTTAAAATACACTGGGCATCATTTTTAAGTTGCTACTGTACTTTATCAACTGGAGTTCTGTAGACCTAAAAGATGTAAAATGTTTTGCTCAATGTAACACACTTTTGTTAACTTTTAAGGCTAAGAAATGAAGCAGTTTGAATGAGGACATAAATTGAACAAATAGTTAAAAAGTGAGTTTCACACAAAATTTTCCAGAAGAAATATTCAGATAAGTATAATGTTTCACTGAATGAACCTTTTAAAACATTGGTGATGCAAATCTTAGTGCAAAATAGAAAAAAAATCATACCTTGTGAATGATTGAGGCCATACCCTGCATTTCCATTTGTAAATGATTGAATACACCATACCCTGTGGGTTTAGTTGTGAATGATTGAATACACCATACACTGTGTTTCTTGCTGTGAATGATTGAATACACTGTACCCTATGTGTTTAGTTGTGAATGATTAAGTATCAGAAGATACTAGAGGTGTTTTCCTATTATGGTGGTGTTGAATTATTGATGTTGCATTTTTTTCCATTTTCTTATTGTATTAAAGCTGATTATATTGTTTCTGTATTTTTCAAAAATTGGAAAGTTTTACAAAATAATATTCACAATATAAGTATATATGTATAGACACATTATTTTTATAAGTATATAAAGTCTACATTGCAGCAATGTTAAAGACTTTAAAATATTTAGTAGATTAATGTATCTACCTCGCATTGAATCACTGTATAATGAATTGTCTAAAATGATGTTTGACATTATTGTTCACTTTGTGTTAGTGTTAATGATATACCATTTCCTGGTATGGATAAACTATGTATTGATATTAGCTTCTGATCAAAGCAAGCTACTTAGAACCAGTGGCGTAGCAAGGGTTCTCAACACCTTTTGGCACCCCACCTCTAAAATGTTTTGATTATTTGTTTTGTGACTCCTTATCCACTTAATAACAATAGCATAAAGAATTAATTACCGCCTTACACAGGTCTAAAATAAAGTCACAATATAACATCTCACGATATCACAACTGTAAACCTGGAACTAATGAAGTATAGCCTACCAGGTGTACTTACATAATCTGTAAACCATTTTGATATTTATGTCATCCAGTATTGCTCAAAGTCACATAGGTAAAGTAATCTTTCAAGCATGCAGAATAAATTTCTGTTATATCCCTAATTTTGAAACTTATGTTTTATATAAGAAGCCAGTCACTTGTGGTATACATGGATTATAAAACAGATTGATAAAATACTACTTAAGTTTACAAATAACAAATTTTATTAGTCTACAAAACTGTACATATACTTAACTAGATCTTGTACAGGTAGCATTCTGGTATTCATGGTTACATTATATGAACCTTTTGTGCTTTTGCTGCTGCAAATGCATCAATTAAACTATCAAAATTTAAGGTATTAAGTACAGCATTCAGGTTCTCAAATATGTACGAATTAATCTCAGCTTGCTGATGGACCTTTCACAACTAGCAATAGAAACCCCAATTGTTAACAAAATCTGCAATGCAATTCTTAAATTTGGGTATACATCTTCACCATATGAAATTATAAATGTTAGCAAATCAGTTGCAGTCATTGGTTCAGGTTTATCAAAATTCTACAGTCTTTAATTTCTCTGTAAAATTCTGGTCCATCAATATCACCTGGATAGCTCTTTTCTAAGTCAGAACATTTTTCTTGCAATTTTCCATCTTCAAAATCTTCAGAAACAATATTTTGCACATCTAGTAGAAATCCAAACTGTGAATCTCAATCTAGTAAGCGAGAAAATCTTCCTGTTATTTCTGTAATCAAGCGATTAATAACATCCTTCATGATGCAATAAATTTCTTGTTCAGCAGTCAATCCAGCATCAGCTGCATTTTCACCTGACCTTCGTTTACAACGTATTTTTCTTCTTTCAATGGTCAATCCTTATGTTTCACATTGATTCTTGCCCACTTTAAGTGCTTCTTGATAGGACTTTTCACGCAATTCTATCAATTTCTCTTTCAAAGAATCAAGATCAGCAGTTGCTTCTCCAAAATTCATTTTTGGGTCCTGAAGACATTTCTGCACTCGACTGATAAATGATAAAAGATTTCTCCAAAAATGCAAAAGTACAAGAAAATCAAATGTAAGCATCCATTGCAGAATATTATGAGTACCACATTTTGTTTCAGCTGTGTTGCTATTCTCACTTAATTGCTCTAATAGTCCTAGCAATTCATCCAGTTTTCATGTACAACTTTTACTGCCTTTTCTCTAGCACTCCATTGTGTTTCTGATTCACGCTTGGCAGAGATCTTAAGCTCCTGCTGCAGTTCATACCATCGAGTTGCTGAATGATTAAAGAAATTATAAATGGCTTCAATTATACCAAAAACGGTAATAACTGTTGTTTCCTGACTTGTAGCATGAAGATGTGCTAAGTTCAAACTATGGTTATCACAGTTTATAAACACTGCTTTTGGGTTTTTGTTCAGAATTCTTTGTTGAATGCCTGACACGACAGGAGTATTGTCATAACATTGTGAACAGCAATCACTCAATAAAATTCCATCCGCTTTTAATTTTATGCTTATTGTTTTC